ATAAGGTGGCACAGATGCTGCAGTGAATCTGGACAAACATTATGAGAGAGAGGCAACATGAGCTCTGTACAATTTATGTATGCATCACTTATGTTATAGCATGGAAATTACACAGCATGCATTTCATGCTCTAGTTACCATACCCATTAAATAGTTCAGAAATATATAGGTTTCTCTCGCTTTAGGTGGGTTCTGTATGTGTGAATTCAGTCTTATGCGATGACACTTTTTATATCAAAAGTTGGTTATATGTGAGGTAAATTCACTCTTATGTGATCTGATGGTGGAAGCCTGCAGTCAGCTGCTTTGTGCGGTGCATTATGGGAGTGACGCACACCAAAATATAGTCTCCTGTGTGGATCTGTGCTCCTCGCTCGTTGTCTGAGACACGTTTCTGTAGTTGCCATCCTCATTGTGGTAACATTCACCACCACCCTGTGCTCATGTGTACTGTCTGCTGTTGGTGAGTACCAAAATTGTCTTGTAAAGTGGTAGAAATAGGTCTGGGAGTCAGTACAGTCAAGGTCTTGGACCGTATCCCTATTTGTTACATTGCAAAGTGGGTTCCCTTTATGCGAATTCAAGTTATGCGCTGTTTTCCAGGAATGCATGTACAGCATAAAGTGAAGGAAACCAGTACCTTCAACTGGTAGCTAGATCTACTTGTTCTTTATAGCTAAAATATTGATAAATATCATGACTAAGATTCATACATATATTCACTTTCATATATGAAGTTAAATATCCCCAGTATTGCACACTGTTATACTTAGGTCTACTTCTTTAATGTTGCTCACAAGCAAATCTTTATCTGCATTGAAAATACAGCGTTTCCTTTCCTTTGTTCCTTGCACAGCTCTTGTTCTCACAACAGCAAAACAAGCATTTGGATCCAGAGGCAACTTTTTAACCTCAACAGCTGTCCTGGTGACAGGCCAGATGGAGTGTGCCAGCTTTCCTTTCCTAAGTAGCTGTACTCTTCTCAGTGTTTGAATACTGGGTCTAGCAAAAAGACCAAGCACTGAATCCATGAAATAGGTTTCAGTGTCAGCACGGATAGCATTGATATAGTTCCATCTGAGGTTTAACACTTATATTTTATTGCTTTCTTTTAAGAGTTTTCTTTTTCTTACTTGTAGGATCTTCAGTGTTATTTATAAGTTCACAAAGGCAGAGGTTATACCTGCAACCTGAATGAATTCATCTCAGAATCTGAGAATGATTTAATCTTAAATTTGGCATGACTTGATAAATAGCTGTTATGATTCTTGGATACAGTATGGGAATACAATCTATTTTACTCCCATCTAAACACAGATCTTATTTCAGTAGGTACAGGAGGGGATATAAACCCCCACACTCTTGAAGTGCTGTGTTTCAAAGTCCATTCCACTTTGAGACCAGATAGAAAGAACATTTGTGGTTTTGTTGTTTTTTTAATGACATCCCCAAGTTCTCTCACATTTTAATTCTCATTAAACCTTCAATAAAAATACATTTGGCTGCTATGACAAGTTCTTGGGGGATACACCCAAATATATTTATAGACTAAATAGCTATTGCCTATTCCTGAAGTGAAATAGTATAGAGGATAACGAATTGGAAACTGAAACACTTGTATCCCTCTGCAGATAAAGCTGGAATAGACTAGTCTGTTCATGGCCTTCTCATTAGCCCAGCTCCATTATCTGAAAGTAAAGGAGAATGGGATCATTTCTCTTCCCCTTCCAAGCTGAAAGGAGTTTCTAGGGGTTATTTTTATTTTGTTTTGTTTTCCTCTTGGTGCAAATGTCCTTGTGTTTTGGGGATTACAAAGACCAAGCTGCTCCCTAATCTTGATATATGGGGACACTGCCCTCTACTACAACTCCCTTCACACTGGCACAACTGCACTGGTAAAATATCCTGTGGGAGCTACACTGCCTTTGGGCAGGCTGCTTCATCCTTGCACAGCATTCCCTTGGTTACCCAAAGGAGGCACAGGGACATACAGTTAATGATGCCTTGATGTAGCTATAAATTTAGCCATGTATCTTTGCAGCAGTGAATAAATAATATATAGTTCATAAAAGTATGTTAACTACATGATAGTCAGACTACCAGTATGCCATGTAGTCCCTGCCACAAACTCAGATTTTCAGATTAATCAAAATTGAGAATATATTTTCTACAACTCAGGTTGTTTAAGAAGTAGACTAGACTTATTTTGATTCAGTGTTCATGTCTATTCCTTTAGCATGGTTTGTTTAACTGAGATGATGGGTCTTCAGGTATTAGGATGTTTTAAATTAATTAGTGGAAAAATGAGAAAAGTTAATTACATATAATTATAGCTTCCTTTTAATCTGGAGCTTGCGTTTGCACTGATAATGGGAGCAAATGGACTTATAACTGGAGGGAATTAGTTTTTAACAAACCGGCAGCGGAGTGGGTAAGATTACAAAAAAAAATCATCCAGCACAAGTTCCGTAAGAAAAAAACCTGGAAAAAAAACATGTGAGCACTATGACTTCTTCCTTAGGACCAGATTGTGCCTGGCTCGATGTGATGATGGCATAAGAAACCTGCAGTGCTCCCACTTCTGCCCATGTGCAGAAATCTACCATGATTTCCATTTTTGTACCCAAGAAGTTCAAGAACTATATGAAGCTAGCATTTACTGTGGCACATTCCACAAACAGCCTAGCCCAGGGGTTGTGAATACCCTAGGCCAGGGGTACTTGGGCGGGCCCTAGGTGGTACATGTGGGCGGGTAGGGACAGGGGGAGCAGGACTGGGGGAGTGGGGGCAGGGCAGCAGTGCTCCTCTGCAGGCCACACAAGAGCTGCCTGGTTGACCAGACGCAGGGGGGCAGGGCAAAGCTTGCACTCAGTGGCCCCCACCGCCACCCCCCACCCCATGCTGCAGCCACTCTGCGTCTGGCCATGTGCCCCCTCCCCCCACCCT